AGATTATGTGTTTATATAAAATGCAATGTGTATATAATGTAAGTCTGGAATCATATCATTTGTCAATGTATATGCATGAAACACAATGACATACTATATGAGTAATTATATGTAAATGAATGATAAAACATACTTATATCAAATGCACTATAATATATGTATGATAATATATGTTTACCAGACATGCAATGCATGTACTATGCATATTTAATGAAATTGACATTACCATTTAGATGTGCACATAATGAAATATATGTACTATATTATTATTTTTAAATGGATGCAAAAACGATCAAATGAAATCCAAAATGTTAAATAACATTCAAAATCAAAATATTCCTTCTTTCTTTTTTCTCTTTTTTTTTTGAAAGAAATATGAATTTAAGAAAATATTTACTATGAAAAATAAAAATACATAAAAAAAACCAAAAATCAAAGATTTATTCGTACTTATGTTTTTATTATTCAGCCAAATAAACAAAAAAAATAAAATAATTCCTTTTTAGAAAATTTCATCTTTTTTTTGGAAAACTTTTAGTTTTTTGTTGTATTTATTATTTTGATTATTAGAAAGTGCAAAAAAAAATTTTGAAATTTTTTTAAAGATATAAATCTTGGGCAAACAACAAATGAATTGAACAATATATCAAAAGAAAATTTATTAAAAAAATATTTTTGTTTTATTTTTTATTTTTTCTAAATTTTAATTTTATTTACACTATTATTACCCCTAAATGCAGATTGTATAAGAATGTCTCTCACATATCCTTATTTGGGTAGTTTCTACAAAAAGGTCGACATGGTTCTACTTAAAGCTAGTCCCTTAAAGTTCACTATATGCTGAGTGAGGATTTATTTTCAAATTATTCCTCATTGAAGTCCATGTAGGGCTAGTAAGGCACCATGATCCTCTCCATAATAGGCTACAAATGGAAAAGACCTATGATGGGCTACAAATGGAAAATATTTAAGCTAAGTGGGAGTATTTCACTTGCTATTTCGAAAATTATTACCTCACGAAAGCATAAGCACTGTACTCTTTACTAAAAAAGACAGAGCTTAGGCTAGAGCTTACGCATGAGATTAATGTGCCGTGTGTGAATAAGGGAATATAACATCACAAACTTTATCCTAAATGCCTTGCAATTGATCAAGAATAATATATACAAAACATAAAATAATAAATAAATAAATAACATTATTAAAATGAAACGCAAGTGATTTTTTTATTATTATTATTATTTTTAAAAGCAACAAAAAAATTAAAGTTAAATGCCAAGTAAGACCATTAAATCAAAATTAAGGATAACACATAATTAATTTTGATCTGATTCTCAACAAAATTATGTCCCCAGTAAAATCACAAAGCTATTGTAACGGTTTTTGGGACCGTAAACGAAAATTTTAAAAATCTCAAAGCAGAGGGAGTTACCACCAATATTTTTTAGCTATGTGCAATTGACCACCTAAAAAGTTTATCTTTTTAATAAAATCTTAAAGTTAATTAAAACTTATTGAAAAATTTTTTACCTACAAAAAATAAAATTAAATTTATAAGTACAATTACGAGTGGAAAAAGATTAATACCCCTATAGTGTCCGTTTTAAAAATGGCATATATCAGTCACGTGTTATCCTTTAACCATGATAAAGTGGTCTTACTCTTGATATTTAAAAAATATTATAATATTTTGAAAATATTTAAAAAAACTTTCTTATCGAGGTATCTCTTAAAAATCACTACTTGAACTTCTTAACAATTCCATCCTTGGCAGCTCATATGTATCTTTAAAATCAATAGTTATAACATAAATAACCAAATGATATTTATAATATATCTCAAATAATATTTTCTTTTTATAAAAACATGTTTTTTTATCCTTTTATTAAGTCTCTTTTTTTATTAAAAAAAAGAGAAAAAAATCTTTATAAAAAATTATTCTAAATACTCAAATACTTTGGTGACATTTTAAAAAAATCTTTTCACCCAAATATTCATTACTCAAACTTATTTAGTATCTCATATTCAAAATTTTATTTTTGCTTTTTTTATTTATTTTAAATATTGATTACTGTAAATAATATTTATGCATTATTATATATGATTATATTATTATTAAAAAAGATTCATTTTTTACTTTCATTAATTTTTATTTATCTTTTTATTATTTTATTTTTATTTATTTTCTTTTTTCATGAAAATATTTTGTATTGAATATTTTTCTAAATACTCCATTACTTTGGTAATATGTTAAAAAAATATGCCTATTTAGAGATTTTAAGAACTCGTTATTTGAACTTCCTTAATATTTTATCTTCAAATATTTTTGTTCTTATTATTACTTATTTTGTTAATTTTATAAGTTGAAATAAAATAATTATACAAGGTAAAATTAGAAATATAATTTTAACCATACAATATTTAAACTTTTTTTAAGATATATTTTTACTATCATATACTACATGAACCAATAAAACAAAATAAATAAATGAGATTGAAAAGTACCTATAAATTGGGCTATACCCAATTCAAAGCAAGACCATTGGGCTAAGTGGGCCGAAGTTGGGATGGGTTTGAAACATGGAATAAAGGCGAGTCAGTTCGGTGGGTCACGAGTTAGGTCGGCTGGTTCCCTATGCACAAGCTGGGTCGAGTAAGTTTGACCTGCTTAACTTTTTTTTTTGTTTAACTATAAAAAGTAAACTTTTTTTTTTTTCATTTCATTTCGTCCTCCCATTCCATAAAAAAAAAAAAAAAATTCTTTCTCTCTCAAACAACAAGCAATTGAACCCTTTTCAAACCAGTTTTCGACCAAAAATTGTTGCCACTGCCACATCTTGTCATCGACCACCGCCTATCACCTATCGACATCGTTTGTCCTCTAGAAAACACCGAAAGCTTCCTGTTTTAGTCCTTTTCTTATATCCAACCCTTTTTTTTTTTTGCAAATCTCCTCAAAACAACCTACATCTACCCTTAAAATTTTGGCACAAACACCCCAAAATCTCCTCTTCCCACCATCGAGTCCTCCTGCTTTTTTAGTATGTTGTTACCTCCCCTTCTCCTTTCCTTTCATCGTTTGGATCCTCGAAAATCTCCCTTGAAGCCATGAACCACCACTATCAGTGCTACTCGTGCTGCCATTATGCCTCCGTGGCCTACCTTGTTTCCTTCCCTTCACCAAGGGACAAAGCCCACTCAAATCCCCCCAATCAAAACCTCCAAAGATCTTCTATTCGAGTGTTTTTTTGTTTTTGATTTGAATTTTTTTTTTTTTTTTGCTTTTGTTTACTTTTTGCATGACTGGGATTCTTCCACTTGCGAGGATTGTGGTTTTTTTTTTTTTTTGGCATATTTGTATCTTGTTCTGGTGTTATGAAAGAGAAGCAAGGTTTTTTTTTAGGTATGGTTTTCAGTTTTAAGATAACAATTTTTTTTTTTTTTTGGTTTGGGTGGTCAGGGATGAAGTAGATTGGTTACTAATGTGGGGATTGGCTCGGCTAGATGATGGGGGTTTAGATTGGTGTTTCGTGGTTGGCTACGGGGAGGCCAAATGGGTAGCGGCAATTTCGGGGCTTTGAGGATGTTAGTTATTGAGAAGGGCTTTAATGAGTTGGAGTTTTTGCTGCGTGACGGGGTTTAGTTCAGTGGTGAGAGGTAGAACGGGAATAGAGGGTGATGGACTGATGGGGAACAGTTCTTCGATCTAGATCTTTCAGGATTTTGGTCTGTCTACTTATTTTCACTGTAGATTACCCTTTGCTTATGTTGTGTATTATTATGATAAAAATTCAAAATTTCGGCTTGATGTGGCTAGTAGTGGACTTTACTACTATTGTTCAAAGGTCCAGTCATTGCATTTTAGCCTTAGGAATCGAGCCGCTCTCCAGGAGAGGATAACAACTAACGATTTTCCCTGGAGGCTAGAGCATCAAAAGAAAAGGTGTGGGCTTTGGTCATCCTTAATTAAAATGCAAGCCCATTCTATGTACTTATACAGAGAATAGCCTTTCTCTTTTTGTTTTGATAATAAAGAAAAGTTTTGTTGATCAAATATTTTTCTAATACTGACTTGGAAATTGACATTCGGCACTCATGAATAAAATAGTAGTGGATTCAAATCCAATAACCAACCCAAGAATCGAAAATCAACATGAAAACGTAGGATACAAAAATTGTGACAATTCACACCTAAATGTGTCTATCTCAGTAATTGCAATACAGCACACAAACTTTTAACAAAGAAACAGTTATATAAGTGCTTCTTAACTTAATTGCTGTTAAGTTATATAAGTGCATGCATGTTCATCAGTATCGTTTGCTTTTGTAAATTTTTTGCCAATATTGAACCAAAATGCAGTAACTTTGCCATTGTATAAATTTATAGTTCCATATATATATATATATATATTTGAATATTCCACATTTACGAATCTTATTCCTGAATATTGGTTGTTTCATCATGTTATTCAATCCAAATCATGGCTAAGACTTTACTTGCACCCTAAAAGCAGGGGAAATATCAGCCACGATGATAAAAACTCACCTCTGATGGCATAGCACTTATATAATCTATTATATATACCAAATTCTTAAACCCCTTTAAAACCTAAAGTTTGAACAAAACGTGAAGTTCGTCTCTATGAAATCCAACTTTTAGAGAAGTTTTTTCATTTAATCATTTTAGCCCTACATGAACAGCAACCTCAAATGGTCGAAGACCAAAATAAAAGGAAAGCAGCATTTGAATTTAGTTTGACATCCACAAAATCCGGTTTAGGTTACAGCAAAGCCAATACTTCTCAATTTCTCCACATCCACCCATATGCAACAATGTCCTAAATGAAGGGAGCGAACCCAACGAAATTCCCCCATCTCCTTCTCCTCCATCTTTTTTCCAGATTTCGCTGTAGAAGGAGAAGACCCTCTTTTTCTTCTTCTCTTTCTCTATGGACTATGCCCAACAAAGGGCTGATCAGTAGGATAGTCAACCGCACAACATGGACTCTGGACCCCCTTATCCACCACAATATGTCATGCTCAATGGCCAAGGGAACCTTAGGCCCCCTAACCATAGACGCCACATTCCCCGCTACCATTCTCATGATCATGGTTCAGGAGCGAAATGTTGCTTAAAGTGTATATGTTGTTTTTATTGCTTCCTTTTTATCTTGATTGTTGTTCTTTTTGGCACAGCCTTCTATCTTTTTACAGTTTATAAACCCCAAAAGCCTTCCTATAACGTCAATCAGGTTGAGGTCAAGTCTTTCAATATCCAGACAGATCTTAGCCTCTATGCAGAAATCTCTGTTTCTGTAAAGGCTGATAATCCCAATCATTTTATAGGCTTCATTTATGGGAAGGAAAGCTCTGTTGCTGTTTTATACACAGGAAACACTCTTTGTTCAGGCAAGCTCCCAGCTTTTCATCAACCTGGGAACAACATTACCTTCTTGAATATTCTGTTGAAAGGAAAGAATGAGTTTGGTTCAGGTCTTCAAGAGACTCTCCTTCAAAACCAAAAGAACGGAAAAATTCCTTTAATCATAACCGTAAAGGCGCCAGTAAGCGTTGTGATTGCAGGTTTCCCGTTAACACAGGTTGTTGTTCATGTTAACTGCTCTTTAGTTGTTGACAATTTATCGCCAAACCAACAAATTGGGATTTTGTCAAGTAACTATGCTTATGACATTGGCCTCTGAATGCCATATCTCCTCAGCCAGATTTTCTTTCTCTTCTGTATTTATCTGACTCTTTCAGGCTGAATGGGCGAAGAAAAATAGCAATTTCATAAGCTTGATTCATGCAATATTCCAATTAACCTATTCCCAGGATGCGTATGCTTCCAAGATAACATATATACAGAATTACAGACAGATGTAGATATCTTTTGTTACACATAGGGTTTTTATAGTTGGTTTTGAAAGTGTGATGAGGCTTTTTATCCTCCATTCTCAACTTCTTGTAATCTGAATTTAGCCGATGTACTTTGGAAATTGTTATATTAATGTAATGTTCATGTGGAGAAGCGCTCTAATAAACTTGGCTTTGTTTGTTAGATTTTAGAGATGCTTGAGCCATGTAAACTCAACCCAGTACCATTGGGTGTAAGCCCACTTCTCAAGCTGCTTATTCGTTTTTCAAAATTGTTACTTTTCTTAAAACCCTTTTTCTTGTGTTGTGGCACACCTCCCTCTGAGCTTGTTCCACCCCCTGTTCCTCAGACGTACTCTCGCAGCGAAGATGGAGATTTGCCTCTCCCTGTTCTTGATAGATAGGCTAGTGACTCCACTGCTACCCACCCTCCAACAAGAGATTTCTTGTTCCAATCATTTGCAGCGTCTGCTGATGCATGGAATTGTATGAACGAAAACAACTTTTATATAGCATCGTGAATTTTACTCGACTTAATCCTTGATTGCAAGCCAGCTTTCTCTTTATTTCTTTCATAGACAAGTATCCAGTTAGTAATTTTGCTGAATTTTATTTGTATTAATCCCTAATCAAACTATTTATCTATTCTCTTCATAATACTTGGAATTGCATAATTCCGTCAGTCATTCGACGCTAGTCAAGTTAGAGATCTATATATTGCTAAAGAGTGGTAGTCATTGCTGACTTTGTACCAAGTTGAGAATAAAGAAAAATGATTCTTGGTAACCATTGCTGATATTAGCCAAATGTTAAAACCAAGCGCATGGCAATGGCAGTGTGCAGCCAAAACATTTGCATGCCTTGTTTGCACATGCAACTATCAGAAACTGCCTACTTGCACAACTTTTTGACCTCTTTTTCATACACACAAAAAATTGATTTGACATTAGTCTAACCATGTAAAGAAATAAGGAGGCTGATTCCACAATGAACTAAGTATCACACGTTCCTTTTTGCATTTTGGTGCCCAAGAAAAAGCAATTTTATTAAAATGATAGTAAGTATCAGTGAGTCACCTTTGGGCCTTAAGCACCATCATTTGCATCTAATCTTTACTACGCGTTAGAGCAATGACCCCAACTCCCTTCTGCTGAACATTTGCATGCCTTGCCAGCATCGGTTCGTCACCAGCTCCAATATAAGTTTATCGTACGCTAGTATATCATTTTTAATATGTTGGGTTTGATTACCTATTCCTTTGACTGCGGTGTCTGCAGCTAACAACCTCAACAACGCAGTCATTCGGGTTCTTGAATCAATTGCTTTTTGTTATTTTTTTTTTGTTAGGGTACTTTCAACTTTATCCGGCAAGAATGAGAAATGGGTAAGTGGGGGTGCAGATTAAGTTTTCAGTTTTATCCCATGTTTAACCAGAATGACGTGAGCTTCCAGGACCAAATTTGTTTTCCTGCCTATTGGTATTTTTACTCTTCTTATTATCCTCACTTCTTGTTTGGACCAATCAGATCAGAAGCTTGAGGATTAGGCTTACTTTTTCCTCAAAATGGTTAACTAATTCTAGCCACTTAAAGGAGAGTAGGTCACCATCTTAAGTCATCAATTATAGGCCTATATATACTGAAGTAAATATATCAAGTTCACCTTCTTTTTTTTTACTCATAATAGATGTTAAACTTTTAATTCTAATAATCAAATTCAATTTTTATCAATCTCAAATATGAAAAATATTGATATAATTTTTACAATTTAATAAATATCGATCAAATTTAAATTATAAACAATATTTTTAATAATTTTTACATATTGTTGATGTAAATTTACATTAAATTTTATCAATATATCAATTTAAATTTTTATTAAAATTTTCATTAAATTACTTATAAAAAAGAACTTCGCAAATTCTATCTTAAAAACCTTTTTCGAGTTTTGTTTTTATTTACATATGAGTGGTCATCTTACATTGTCTATGATTTATTGAAACAAGTAAGAAGACAATTACTAGAAGGTAACATGTCTCAATTAAAATTATTTTCAAAGGTGAAATTTAAGACAAAATTTAATGATTAAATTGTGAATAATTTTTCATTAGAATTGACTTAATGATTATTAAAGCTAGAACCAAATTGTCTGCATTAGATCTCTTTGGTTTTACATGAAAAAGTCAAGATTATTTGCGTGTTCTTTTGAAAAAACACGGCCTCAAAGTAATATTCAAAGCTTTAACATAAGAATCTCTTTTAGTTGGAGGAAAACATTCTGGATGTCAATGTCATTGATTGATGGCTACACCCAACTACTGAATTTCCAATTTTCAATTTTTCCCACTCAAAGCTTAAGGAGGATCGAATTCAGTATCAATAAAACAGCAGAATGTAAATCAGTGATCAAATAACTGAATGCTAATAACAATGGCATTTAGTAAAATATATGAGCCAAAAGCCGAGGGACAACTAGATTCTTAGTTTCAATGATAAAATTTTATTATCAAATAAAAAATTTTTTTGTCAAATATATGAGGCTTAACAATGTCTTACCAAGTGTCCAGATCAAGGGAGAGTGGTGGGAGCAGTTTTTCCAGGAGACTAGAACTGTCTGGTGCACTTTCTTCATTTTTCAAACCCACTCCTCCTAAATACAACACCAACCAAAATGAAGCCCAACTGTCATGCTGCCCTCTTCGTTCAGTTGCTCTCGACACTTATTCCCCACTTCCTCTTTCCTCACAATTTTGACAACTAGAATATAAAAGATGATAACATTTTTAAATTCTATCTAATCCTGGTAAATCATGAATCTGAAACTCAAGCTTTCATTTTAGAGGCTGCACTCTCACTCCTGAAAGAACCAGACAAACTTTGAAGCATGTTTGACATCTTTTTCGGGTGGCGAAAAGCTTCAAAATGGTACAAGTCTAGGGTCTTAAGGAAAGCTTATTGGATATGCTGTTTATATTTTTATTCTTACGAGGTTTGTATGTGTTCTTATGTTGCAGTAAAAAGCTGCTCAAGAGTGTTCAGCGCCGTCTGAAGCTGCTAAAGAACAAAAGGTATACAATTGTGAAACAGCTGAGGGAGGACGTGGCTCAGCTCATCAAGCTTGGCTATGAAGAAACTGCCTTTAACCGGGTAAGAAAGAGATTGAAATTCTCTTCATTGAATTCTACACTCTGTAATTAACTTTAAAGTCTCCCCTGCTGCTTGCCCTGCTTTCTGTGGTTCTTCTATTTGTCACAGAAAGCAAAGAGGGATTTGAGTAATTAATTGATACTGTTGATTGTTCTTCTTCTGTTTGCATAGCCTTGGATGTTAAATATTGTATTGGCTTAAAAGAAAAGCTCTTGTAGGACATCGAATTCATTGAGATACTGTTTTCTTGGCAATGTTATTCTTTCTAGTATTTTCCCCAGCTCAAGATTTCTGAATTCAGCGTCAGGAGCTCGAAGAGTTGAAGTAACATTTTCAGCTATCCATTAACTACTGAAGGATGAAACATTACAGCTAGTATCAGATATTAAATGGGGACCTTTCCGGTTATGAAAATTACTTGCAAGTAGTCTAATTTGATCTGTATATAAGCTTCATTAGGAAGGTAACAATGCAGCCTTTAGCATCAGGAGTATTACAATTTAGGATAATGTCTAGAATGACTTTGAACTAGAGTAAAATATTTAATGTAGTATTTGAACTTTAAAATCTCTAATATAGTATCTGAATTATGAATCTGTTAACTAATATAATACTTGGAATATTGTTTGCTAGATATGTGTCATCATTTGGAGCTAACGATGTTAGGAGTAAGTATCACATTAGTTAACAGATTTATAATTCAAGTACCACATTAGAGATTTTTAAAATTGAGTACAACATTGAACATTTCATTATAATTCAGGGACCATTTGTGACATTATCTCTATAATTTATAATCAATAATCTCTGTTCCCGTTCTACTAACTAAGGCCATGCAAACTCTCTAGCTAAATCTTTTAGAAACATACCTTTGAAATAGGTGGTGAGAATTAGGTATACTAAAGAACATTAATTATCAATTTGGGACATCTTCTTCAGGATCTTATCACTTTGGTTAATGTTTCACGTAATTTATAGGTTTCCTCATTTGATTAAATTTTGTACTAGCCATTTCACAGTTCTGGTCGGTGATTAGAATGTCTTGTGCATATTACAAGCATTGCCAAACTATGAATCAGCTTTCTTGGCTCTCATTTAGCTCTGACCATTAACTCTCAATTTTCAGGCCGAGCAGCTGTTTAAAGATGAGAACATAATGGCAGTCTATGACATGCTGGACCATTTCTGTGAATTTGTCAACATTCAACTGCCATATATCCGCAGACACAAGTTTTTTCCTCCTAACAACAATTTTTCTTCTTTTCTTCATTTTAAGTTTCTGACTATGAGCTGAAAATATCTGTCTTGTAATTATGCTGTTTTAGGGACTTCCCTAACGATATCAACGAAGCAGTTTCAAGTCTGATATTTGCCTCTGCAAGATGTGCTAATCTTCCTGAGCTTCCTGCAATTCGGCAGCTCTTTGGGGAGCGTTATGGTGAGAGGTTTGCAACAGCTGCAGTTGAATTACTTCCTGGGAATCTTGTGAACCGTGAGGTTGTCTATTGTAGTACTAATTGTTTTGATTTTTCTTCATTGTAATAAGGTTTTTATCATCAATTAACACGAAGCATTTGATAAATATTCATCTACAGATAAAAGAAAAGCTCTCCCTTAATTCAGTTTCAGATGATGTGAAGTACAGATTGATGGATGAAATAGCTCGAGATTACTGCCCACAGCCAGAAATTTTGGCACTTGAATACATTCCTCAAATGAAACATCAGGTAACTAGATATATTCTTTTAATTAATATCTTGTAATCATATTTTAATGTTTTATTGCCAACTTAGTGAAGTCCTATCGGCTAATGTAACCATA